AGGAGACGAGACCTTGAGTTTGAAGTTGGTGACCATGTATTTTTGAAGGTGTCACCCACTCGAGGTGTCCTCAGGTTTGGCATCCGGGGAAAATTAAGTCTGAGATATATTGGACCATATCCTATCTTGGAAAGGATTGGCGAGGTAACTTATAGATTGGAGTTGCCTGGAAATTTAGCCGGTGTTCATGATGTGTTTCACGTGTCCTTACTTCGGAAGTATGTTCCCGACTCGAGTCACATCATTAATCCCGAATCAATTCAATTCCGGGAGGATCTCACTTATGATGAGCACCCGATCCGCATTTTAGATTTCAAGGAGAGGATAATGCGGAGAAAGACCATTCGTTTTGTTAAGGTCCTCTGAGATAACCATTCGGCTGAAAAAGCTACTTGGGAGTTGGAATCCAAGGTGAGGCAGGAGCATCCGTGCCTCTTCCAAGATTGAGGTATGAGTTTAGGGGACTAAACTCCTTTTAGGAGGGGTGGATGTAATACCCCAAAAATTTCAAGAACATTAAAGTTGAGTTAGGGACTTAATGGTGAGGAAACGTTATTAATGGACCTAATAGTCAAAATAGTCAAAATTTCAAATTCCAAAGGGTTTAAAAGATTATTGGATAAGGCCGACTGACCTTTCCTTTTTTTCTTTTTTTTCTTTCTCTCTTTCTTCCCCAACCATTTTCGCGTGTTTGCTCTGTCTCTTTTTCTCCTCTGCAGCCGGAAATGAGCCCAGCCATCACCGACACCTCCACCTGAAAAAATTGGTAAGAGAACTTGATGATTTTTGTTCTCTTCTTGTTCAAGAATAAGTCTAGGACTTAGAAATCTTCTCCCTTGCAAAAAATTCTCCAGATCTACTGTCTTCTTCCTCCCCTAGATTAATCATGTCTATTAGCTTTAATCTAAGGTAATTAGATTCGTTTAATTATCTTAGTTAAAGGTTAATAAATATGATTAATTAATTTTAATTAATTTTAATTGATATTAAGTTAATCACTTAATTAAATTAATTATCTTAATTAATTACTTTTTAATCTTCTATTTGCCTTAATCTTTTTTTTTAAAAAAAAAAATCAAAAGTTATTTCTTTTATTTCAATTTCACATAAAACTTTCATGTTCAAGCACTTTAGTCCAAAATTTAAAAAATGTTTCAATTTGATTTATTTTTAAATTTCCCTATTAAGACTTAAACATAAAGATAATGAATAAGATGAATTAAAACCCCAATGTTAAAATATGCAACTGTGTTTAAACGGAGGATTGTGAGGTGCGTGTATGCCCTTCCTCACTCCTAATCGAACCCCCAAACCCCGATCTCTGCACAGAGCCGTTTTAGGTGACTTGTCCCACCTTATAATTTGGACGAGTGGCGACTCCCTCTTTTTTATATTTTTCACACTTAATTTTTCATTATTTTGAAAAAAATCTTAAGTGGTCGTCAACAGGTTGCTACAAATTGCAAGGAAAAAAAAGAGAAAACTGTAACAAAATGATGCTGAGAAACACTGCACTTCTATTTTTGCATTTTGCCTTTGACCCGGCCAGCTAACTGGTTGAACCGATCAAATAGATCAAACCAAGAACCGATGAGCAAGCCAATTTTATGCTCGGTTCGGGTTTTAAAACTTTGCCGTGGAGCAAGTTCTACAGTCAAAACTTTCTTTGGATGATAAAGAACAAAAAGGAGGCGCAAGTCAAAGAAGACAAGGTCGAGGCCGTGGATGTGGTTGTGGTTGAGGACGTGGAAGAGGAGGAAGAAATGCCCAGAACACTGATCAAAGCAAAGATGAAAATTCTCAATTCACCTCTTTGAAAGGCCGTGGCAAAGGAGGATCAAGGCCATATCAGAAGAGGTATGACAAATCCCAAATTCAGTGCTACACTTGTCATAAATTTGGGCATTATTCATGGGAATGCAGATTTGGCAACAATGTGAAAGCCAATTTCTCTCAAGATGAAGATAAAGAAGCTAATGAAGAGGTGGAAACAACTCTCTTGTTGGCCTGCAAAGAGATGAAGAATGAAGACAAGCACTCTTGGTACCTTGATGCTGAAGCAAGCAACCACATGTGTGGAAACAAAGAATTATTTGTGGAGCTTAATGAGAAAGTTGGTGGCAACATCACCTTTGGAGACTCCTCCAAAATACTAGTGAGGGGTAAAGGTAAAATTCTAATACGCATGAAGGATGGAAATCATCAGTTTATTTCAAATGTTTATTATGCACTAGACATGAAGAGTAATATTTTGAGTGTGGGCCAACTGTTAGAAAAGGGATAAGTTGTATTCACAAAAGGTTGCAGTTTGTACTTGAAAGATTGTGTAGGAAACTTGATTGCCAAAGTCCCAATGTCAAAGAATCGTATGTTTGCTATGAACATACATATAGATGTGGCTAAATGCCTAACGTCTTGTTACAAAGATTCTTCATGGCTGTGGCATTTGAGATTTGGGCATGTGAGCTTTGGAGGACTTAAAGCTATGGCTAGCAAAAGAATGGTGAAAGGCTTGCCCTTGGTGAACCAACCTGATCAACTTTGTGAAGGTTGTCTTCTTGGTAAACAATCAAGAAAGAGCTTCCCAAAAGAGTCTCAATCAAGAGCTATGAGGCCATTACAGCTAGTTCACACCGATGTTTGTGGGCTGATCACCCCATGTTCTTTCGGTAAGAACAAATACTTTCTTTTGTTCATTGACGATTATAGCAGAAAAACATGGGTATATTATCTTAAAGAAAAATCAGAAGTGTTCAAGTGTTTCTAGAATTTTAAAGCACTTGTGGAGAACGAAAGTGGCTTTAAAATCTAGGCATTGGGATCTGACAGGGGAGGTGAATTCACTTCTAAAGAATTTCAAGAGTTCTATGCTGCCAATAGAGTTCGCCATTTTCTTATTGCTCCAGGATCGCCACAACAGAATGGAGTGGTGGAAAGAAAGAACAAAACTATTCTGAATATGGCAAGAAGCATGATGAAGACCAAGAAGATGCCAAGAGAGTTCTGGGTTGAAGCTGTTGAGTGTGTTGTCTACTTGTTGAACCACGGCACAACAAAAGCAGTTGATAATAAAACTCCAATTGAATTATGGAGGGGAAGAAAGCCCTTAGTCCATCACTTGAAGGTGTTTGGAAGCATTGCATTTGCCCATGTTCATGATGGAAAGTGTACCAAGCTTGATGACAAGTGCAAGAAGTATGTGTTTGTTGGTTATGATTCTAGAACAAAAGGGTACAGGCTTTACAATCTGGATGGCAGCAAAGCAGTCATCAGTAGAGATGTGGATTTTGATGAAGAAGCCATGTGGGATTGGAAATCTCAAGAAGAGAATTATGAATTTCTTCCATCTTTTGCAGAAGAAGATGATGAAGAAGAAAGACAAGAAATCATTACTCCCCTAGCATCATCGTCTTGTGGTGAAATTTCATCTTTGGAAGGAAGCTCAAGTGAAGGGCCTTTGCGAACAAGGAGGCTTAGTGATATATACTGAGAAACTGAAGAAACTAATTAATGAGTTGAATTTGTATATATATTAATGTGAAATTGTTGCCTTGATATTATTGATATTCGGATGAGTTTTATGAGATTTTACTGAGTTTTATGACATTTTACATGGATTCTCATTCTTACGGTAGAAAAGGGCTTGAATGCATAAAAATAAGAAGTTTTGGGATTAATTGAACATCTTTTGAAAGTTGAGGGATTGAATTGCAAGAAGAAGGGCACTTATTTGGGACCTTAATGAATGAATCTTGAGTTTTGGGATCTAAGTGCTCATTGTACAAAAGCTGGGGGACAGATCTGTCATTTTACCATTGAAGAAATCGCAAAAGGAGGCAAGAAACCCGACACGAGTGTAGTGTCGACACATAACCTGGGTATCGACACCATGCGTTAATAGTCCAAAATCAAACTTTTTGTTTCCTGTTTTGTATCGACACATAATTCAGGGTGTCAGTACCATACGTTCAGTGTCCAACATTCAAGTTTTTTATTCTGTTTCAAATTCTACTTCTATTCCAATTAAGATTTCTAAAATTTTATACATACCCATCCAAAGTCAGAATTAAAAGAGCTTTGGGAGGCTGGTGACAGTCCTCTTTTGGGCACTATTGGAGGTCAAGATAAAGGATCCATCAATAAGAAGATCAAGGATTTCAATTACCTCAAATTAGGTTTTGTTTTTCCTTAGATATTCTTATATTTAGAACTGTGATTTCAGATTTTATTATTTTTATTATGAACTAATTTATTTTACTAGGATTATGATATAACCTAATCAATTCAATATAAATTTTATGATTTTATACTTTCAATTAAAGTTATTTGCATTAGGGGTTTATATTATTGAACTTAATGCATTGGAAGTCTGATCATGTTTCAATTGATTTAGTGATTTATGCATGAATTTAAAAAAGAATTGTGTAGACTATATCAATAATAATATAAACCGTGTGTTAGACTATAAGACCAAGAGGTAATTAGCTCACATATAGTAGTGAAGGAAAAGAAGAGAGTTATGAGCTTCTCCTTCTTAAACTAGAGTTTTCCATAGAATTTAATACTCATTAGTTTGTTTAAAATTACATAGAGATATGATTAATTTAATAAACAAGTGAAGGATTAGCTTGACTTGAGAAAGCTAGTTAATTAATTTAGGAAAATTCGTCATCACATGTTATAACACTCAATAATTTAGTAATCCATAATTTATATTAATTGATTATGGTGAAGTCGATGCCTTAATACCTCATATCTTGGTTAGGTTTATTTTAATTGTTATTTTCTTTTTATTATTTTTAATTAAAGTTTCTTTCTATTTGATTGTTCAAATAAATTTAAATTAATTATTTTGGTACTGAGTTAGATACAATCCTCGTGAGTTCGACACTCTTCTCATCATTATATTACTTGGAGCGACTAGTACACTTACTAGAGTGATTTTAGTGCATCACTAATGATGTTACACTATTTTGTCTATTTACAGATACTAAGCCTATTGACTTCAATGAAGCTACCAAAGATGAAAAGTGGAGAAAAGCTATAGACGAGAAGATGAATGCAATAAAAAAGAATGATAGTTGGGAGCTAGTTATTCTTCCTCAAGGACATGCTGCTATTGGAGTGAAATGGGTGTTCAAAGAGAAGAAGAATTCCAAAGGAGAGGTAGAAAGATATAAAGCAAGGCTCGTGGCTAAAGGCTACAAGCAGCAACATGCCATTGATTATGAAAAGGTTTTTGCACCGGTAGCTCGTCTGGAGATGATAAGATTGATAATTTCTCTAGCAGCTCAAAACAAGTGGAAGATTTTCCAAATGGATGTCAAGTCAGCCTTCCTAAATGGCTATCTTAAAGAAGAGGTGTATGTTCAACAACCTCTCATCTATGTTGTAACAGGTGAAGAGAACAAGGTGCTTAAACTAAAGAAAGCTCTCTACGGTTTGAAACAAGCTCCAAGAGCTTGGAATTGCAAAATTGACAAATACTTTCAGGAGAATGGCTTTGTCAAGTGCCCTTATGAACATGCTCTCTACATAAAGGTGAGCAAAAGTGGAATTTTAATTGTTTGCCTATAAGTAGATGATCTAATCTTTACAGGCAATAATCCAAGGATGTTTGAAGAATTCAAAAGGGCAATGACCAATGAATTTGAAATGACGGATATAGGACTCATGTCCTATTATCTTGGCATAGAAGTGAAGTAGATGGAGGAAGGCATCTTCATTTCACAAGAAAATTATGCGAGGGAGGTGCTGAAAAAGTTCAACATAAGCAATTGTAAACTGGTAAATACTCCGATTGCCTGTGGCATCAAGCTATCCAAGTTTGAAGAAGGTGGAAGTGTGGATGCAACTCTTTTTTGGAGTTTAGTTGGAAGTTTGAGATATTTAACTTACACAAGACCTAATATTTTGTTTGGAGTTGAACTGGTTAGTCGATATTTGGAGGCTCCTACAACAATCCATCTAAAGGCAGCAAAGAGGATCCTTCGCTATGTAAAAGGTATTGTTGATTTCGGGTTGAATTACTGTGCCTCTAATGAATTTACTCTTAGAGGTGTCAGTGACAGTGATTGGGCCGGAGATATTGATAATAGAAAGAGCACCACTGGATATGTGTTTTACATGGGTGATACAGCTTTTACTTGGAGCTCGAAAAAGCAACCCATTGTTACTCTGTCAACTTGGGAAGCAGAGTATGTTGCTCTTAATTCTTGTGTAACTCATGCAATTTGGTTGAGAAATTTGCTAAAGGAGCTTCATGTCACACAAGAGGGCCCAACGAAAATATGTGCTGACAACAAATCTTCAATTGCATTGGCAAAGAATCCTCAATTTCATGAACGAAGCAAACACATTGATACCAAATATCATTATGTGCGCCAGTGTGTTGAAGACAAAGTGGTGCAGCTAACTTTTGTGAGGACTCATGATCAGATGGCAGACATTCTTACCAAGGCACTCAAGTTCGATGATTGCAAGAAATTAAGAAGCTGTCTTGGAGTCGGAAAAAGTCATGTTTAAGGGGGGTGTTGAAAGGATAAACATGCTTTTAATATTCAGTTCATGTATTTGGTAGGAATAATGTTTAATCATGTATCTAAAAGAATGGAATTCATGTCTACCAGTTAATTTGGGAGGAAGAACCAGTTTTTATGATTTATCTATAAATAACTTTGTAAGTTCTCATTTTCAATGAAGTCAATACAGAAAAACATTTTCTCCAAACCTTCCTCTCTTCCTCTGTAAAATCCTCATAAGTCCATTTATATCCAACAAGAATAGCATACTACCGCTCAAAAATTTCCGTCATATGATTGCTGTATTATTGTGCGATGTGGTCAGACAAACCTTCAGCTTGGTGGTGTCAATAGAAACGACATCGCGGGAGGACAAGGCGTTGGGATTGTCATCCACGGCGCAGAGAGCTGAGACGACCTGAGATGCGGTCTGGACATAGTGGAGGAACGAGGAGACGAAAACCTGGCGGATCAGGGAAGTTTAGGCCGGTCCGGAGCTTCCTACCAGTAGCGAAAGCCTTGACCAGGCAGCCATCGGTCCCAGGGCCCCTCTGCCGTCGTCGACGAAGCTCCCACGAGCAATTGAAGTAACACACGAACTCTGATTCACTGGGCTCGTCGCCACATCGGAAGACAAAGAGAACCCAGGATCACGTTCTTTTAGAAAACCAATCTAGAACCTAGATCTGGGTTCTTAATTTAAATTTATTACAAAATTTTGTCATTATAATACAGTCATCTAATCCATTAAACTAGTCATAAGCCCAAGGACGGACCTAGTGTAGGACAAGAGGGGGGACAGCCGACCCCCAAAGCTTTTGAAAAATTGTTAAACGTGGTGCATTAATTCTTTTTTTTTTTTTTTTACAAAATTTTATATTTGAAATTGATTTGAATTATATGGATTATTCAAATATAAAAACATATTTAGAACTTAGGTAAAGGGATCATTTTTTTTTTTGTGATTAATTTTTATAAAGAGATGATAATTTTATTTAAATAAAAATAAATATAGAAAATTGTTAAGATTTAGTTATTTTGAAATAAACTTATATAAATTTTTACCTTTATTATATATGATTTCTTTGGTATGATTTATATTTTTTAAAATCAAAGTTTATTTGATACATACAACCTTACTAAAAAACCTATATTTTTATATTATTTATTTTAT